CGATTTAAGATTCAGTCATATGTAATTTGTATCTCACAATCACAACTCCTTGTGATTAACAAATCACCAAGACTTGAATCTACGGATTCTATTATTTAATTTATTAGAATATTAATTCAATTAAATAATAGATATTGCCATATATATGCATTGATTATATATATTCAAAGTGTTTATGTCCAAAGTTGATTGGATCTAAAGCATAACACTTACACCAATAATATCCCAAAATCTGGTTATCAATCCCAAGAGTTTTGTGATAATCTATGACGGAAAAATCCTTTAGCTGGTTGGTATAAGGTAGCAGCGTGAAGAAATTCTGTGTTCACACAGAAGGGGCCTACTGTTTGATATTTCTCTGGGTAGATTCACATTAGATAAGGCCATTTATTTGAAATTTCGCTAAAGAAATGACATGTCATTGTTGCAGAGATCCGAAGCAACCCAATTTTATGGATGACCTTATCCACAACCATTATTCTAGAAAACAAGTTTTTAGTAGTGTTTTTTAGCATAATGCGGTTAAAAAGTAAAGAAATGTTTTGGGTTCACGTGCATAATATTTATTGTGTAAATGTGTGGTTGAAAATGAGTATGTAAAAAAATGAGTTTTGAAATAATGATTGTCAAACAGGGCTTGTGTCGATTTTTGAATTGGTCAACATGCATAATTGGCTAATTATTCATATTCTTTTTCTATGAATCCAAACCCAGAATTTCCAATGTCTTGAATATGATAAAACTTAAAAGGACGTGGGGGGTTTGTTTTATTTATTAGTATCAGATGATGTTATAAAATGTTGGAGAGTGATGACAACATGCCTGCGTCTACATAATCAGCAATATGCATGAAAATGATATATAGAGAGAGCCTGCCCGCATCTAAATAGTCAGCAATACGCAACCTAATCCAATCCACCTCATGAAAATGATATATAGAGTGGGTAACGCGAAGAACTCTCATTAGACGATTCTAACCATTGTCACAAGAAACTCAAATCGGCAATTTTTTTATATTTATGTTCTGTCTTAAAACTTTTTAATAACAATTTTCCTATCATATCTTGCTAATAGGTTAATAGTTATGGACAATCAAGCATTTAATCTATGCCGTCCATACTCTCTTTAGCTTCCATTTGTCTACCTTTAACCTTGCATATCATTTTCATAATGGATATTTTAGAATTTCTTTAGAGTTGAGTCAGCATACATTATTCTGTGCATGTTGGACATCACGTCCTTAGCCCCATTTTTTAGAAATTTGATTTTGTAATGATGATTTTTTGAAAGATACGTGGTTTTTTTTTTTTTTTTTGAGTTTATGAGTAAAATTGTTTTAATGAAAAAATGAGTAGTTCAAAATGAGTTTGAAAAAAAAAAAAAAAACGTGTTTTAAATATTGGGGTTCAAACATGGACTAAATATCCGAAACAACAAGATTAGAATTTTTTTTTTTTTTTTCTTGTGTTTGATTAGGTCGAAGTTGTATATTAGTTGGAGAATCTATACCAACAATATTTGCGTTTCCCAACAATTTTTTAATAAGAAATATATGTTCGTGGAAGGAGAGATTGCGGGTTTGTTTCTACATCCTTTATGTACAACGCAAGAAATCTACATTGATTTTTCCCATTCATGGCCCATGGAATTGAAATTTTTGCAAGTGTTGGCCAATCAAACGAACAAATTGCTAGAAATTGTATACTTGTCAAGAACTTCAAATGTTGTCCGTCTTGCTAGTTTCACCAACCAGTCCTCCATTTTCGGATTTTTAGTTAACTTTGTCCCCTCAAGAAAAGCACCTTGCTTGTGATCTACTCGGACAAATGGCTTGGGCAGAATGTTATCAAATTCAATTAGAGTCTATTTTATGGTTAGGACACCATACGTAGCATTTGTTCATTTTGTCGTAGACATTTATGCCCTCTTTCTATGTCTTGCGGTGATGATTCCTAGAACTCTAGTACTGGCTATATTCTTGATAATATTTCCTATCGAAGGTTCCAAAGATGGGCTAAGGAGTCTCGTGCGAAGCTCGTATTACAAAGATAATGTTCTCATTCTTGTGCTTCGGAAAAGGAACTATCTTTTAAAGAAAAATGTTTTTATGTACATAATTAAGTACATAATGTATATAATGATGAAGTGTCAAAATGTAAGTGGGGAAATTATTTGATTGATGAGATTTTAAACCAATTAAATTTCGACATATCATCTGTTGACAAACCATTACGTGTAAGTTGTTGTGTCTATGTAGCTCGACCACTTTTCAAAAGCTTGTTATCCATGTTATATTAGAATACATTTGCAAATGCTTATCTTTTTCCATAACTTTTCTTTTACCAACTTTCTTGTAGTATGATGATTTCCCTTTTTTCAAGATTTGCATGGTGAAACAGTAAAATTTTTCGAAATTACGAACGATTGAATGTGCGAGATAAGACGTTGGGTGAGGGAATTACATCTATGAACTCGTTATTTTGATGGGATTTAATTTCCAGAAAGCTAATTAGTGAGATAATACATTCAATTAAGGATATGATTTCCTTTTGACAGTGGTAGAACTATTCAAACTACTGCTTTCTTCATGATCATCTGATCCATTGTTACTCGAAATCTCTGTAATCCCACTAGAACTCGAAGACAACGTAACTGGAACAAGATTCAAATCAGTCCTATCCTTGGCCATAAAATCATAGAAGATGGTCCTAGTATTCCCCGAAATGGCACTCCTGTCTTCATTTTTTGTTTGCGCAGCAACCTCCTTGTCCTCGTTTTTGTTGTTTCTCCTCTTCAAAAATATTCGGCAGAGAACCCAGTTTTCCTGCAAAATGTTGTCATTGACGTAGTCAGGACATGTTTCCTTGCAGTATTCGATTGGACACAGTTACTGTTTAGTAATGTGCCGATCAAGATAAAAATTGGAAATGAAATATTATGGAAATCTCACATATGCTATATTTTTGGCCTGTGGGGCAGCGGTGGCTGTGATTTGAGAATTGACAAGGCGATATTCGTGCATAATCCAATCAGTTCTGCAACCTCTCGGAGGCTTTCCTCTGTAGAAAACTAGAGTTCTTTTCATCCCGACAACCTGGTGGCTCCTGGGACTCGCAATTTGCTTATCGAATCCAGTCGCCTTCCAATAACCGGAAACAGTTGCCCGTTTTGATCTGTTTCCATTCCCATTCGGATGCTTAACCTCTCTAGTGCTGAAAAAGTACCTATCTTGATCTGTATCACCTGTACATAAACAAACTCATAAATTCAACTGAAAATTTCTGATAAAGAAACAACGTTTTAATTGTCGAAGGGGCACAATAAACAAACCTGGCAAATCCCAAGGATCAGAGTTACAAACATCGACCTCTGGGATAATAGAAGCTGGCAAAGGATAGGATAAGACTTTACGGTTCAGGTACTGCACCACGAGCTCCTCATCGGTAGGGTGGAACCGAAATCCAGGAGGCAATTTAATCACACCATTTTTCACAAAGTTAATTTTCTCCATCTCTTTTTTCTCTTCTCTCAACTCGACTCAAAACAAATACAAAGAAAAATCCACCCTTCAATTCAATTTCTAGCACAAACCCAAATTCAAGATCAAGATTTTCATCTTTGAGTTGTTGAAAGTGGAGACATATACATACGTACGCTTATAATCTATAATAAATATGTTTATAACAAGAAAAGACACAAGAACAAGAAAAAGAAAAGAGAGAGAAAAGAGGTAAAGAATGGGTATGTGAGAGGGTTCTTTATAGTAATGGGGGTGTTGAGGAAGAAAGGGCTCTTAGATAGAATAGACGAGGGACCAGGAGAATAAAATATGTGATGTAACAACCTACTATTTGGTGTAAAATTGACTCAATCACCTTCTTGCATTTTTCTAAAACCACCAAGTTTTAGAACATGAAAAATAGACTTCTTTCCTATGCGAAAAGGTTTTCCTACATTTTTTGTGTTCACCAACACTTTTTTTTTTGACATTGCACATTTGAACTTATCACGTTCTCGTATTAATTTAGAAAGTTGATTTTAAGTACCATTTAAATTGTCCTTGGGAGAGTAACCATGTACATAAATTGCTCAATTTTTTTTTTTATTTGGAAGGAGGGTTGTACCTCCGAGATTTTATTAATATATCCTCACTTGTGGCGGAAGAATACCGTGGTTACAAATGATATCAATGAAATTAATAAATGAAGAAGTACTACTTCCCTTACAGTGAAAGTAAAGACTAATAAGAAAGCAGTAAAAAAAGAGTACTACATTTCTTACAAAAAGCACAAGTTAGATCACAAATAAAAATAAAAGCAAAGTATAAATACTTAAATTCTAGTGTTGGGCAAACCATATCTGTTAATTTGAACAAGCGCCCTGATATGTNAATACCGTGGTTATAAATGATATCATTGAAATCAATAAATGATGAAGTACTACTTCTCTTACAGTGAAAGCAAAGACTAATAAGAAAGCAGTAAAAAAAGAGTACTACCTTCCTTACAAAAAGCACAAGTTAGATAAAAAATAAAAATAAAAGTAAAATACAAATACTTAAACTCTAGTACTGGGCAAATCATATCTGTCAATCTGAACAAGTGCCCTAATATGTCGTGGTAGGTCGATTGGTTCATATTCCTAGTATCTACGCTGATGCCAACAATCGGTAGCAAGTGCATCTGCAACTTGGTTCCCCTCTCTGAAGATGTGGGAAATCATAACTCTGTCAAAGGAAATGATATCTGCAATCTGAATATCCCCTGGATAGGCCACGGTTCACCACCTCTGATGATGTAGTGAATGGCGACAGTCGAGTCTGCCTCAACCCAAATATCTAACAAATCAAGATCTCTAGCCAGTAGCATCCCGTCACGAATATCCTTGAATTCCGCCTCTAATATCATACATTGTCCATATGAAGTTGAGAAAGTACTGATACTATTTCCTGCGTAGTCCCTTATGAGGCCTCCCCCACTAGCAAACCCATCCTTGACATAACTATTGGTGTTGATCTTGACATATCCAAATGATGGAGTGCGCTACCAAACTATGATGGGGGAGGAGATGGGTGGAGAGTCAAAGAAATACCAAAAAATATAGCAACTTGCATGTCATTACGCCAATGTAAC